CTCCCTTGAGAAGTACAGTCTGCTTTTCATCTTCCTGTAGACAGCTTCACATTTCCATCTTCAGTAGAGTATGTTGTCCAGGCAAACACCAAGGTATTAATACTCCTCCACTACCTCAAGTTCTGACATGATGGTAATAGTGTTTGATCTGTTCTTATGTCTCATGAAATATACAATCACATTCCTAGTTCTATTCACATTCAGGATAAGGTGACTGTTTTCAAACCTTACCACAAAGCATGCTAAAATGATTCCCAATGAGATCTTTGCATGATACTTCACTCTTTAGATCCAGACTTAAAACGCAGCAGGAGATATGTAATCCTACTCAGGCAGACTCTCCTAGAGTGATCCCCGTTTCACTTGTTGTATACAGAAGTCACTTCTGACTGCTGCATAAAAAATTCAAAGTCTCCAAATCTAGCCATCTGTCATCTGCCTCTATGTTTATCCAACAGATTTTCAGGCGCTTGCTCTGTTTGCCTGTCGATCACCACTCTAAACCATATGTGTTCTCACCAGTTTAGCAATTTACTGAGTAGAATGTCACTACTTGAGAGCAAGGCTAATGAACTGTTGAGCATCTTTGCATTACGTAAGAACATTAAGGTAAATCCTCTGGGAATGAGATTAGGATTATTATGTGAGGACTTGAGCGGTAGTGTGTGTGCATGTGTTTTAAGTAAGAATTAAAACAATTTTGCTCAAAGGCTCCTCTGCAGTACCTTTAGGGAATAGTCTGCTGTCTTTTCAAGTGCCCTGCTTTATTTCTTTTCTTTATTCCTGGCATGCAGAGCTGGCGCTTCACTAAGATACAATGGGTCATTTCAGCAATCCACAATGCGATAATAAACAATAGCAAAACACATTACCAGTCTTTCACACTTTGTCTAGCTTGTCTAGTGGAACAATAAAAAGGGCACCCAAGCTTAACTCAAAAGCAAATAATTGTTCATAGTAAAATTATGCTAAACAGGCAGGATCAACATTCAAGATTAATGAGTAGGATGTATTTTATGTAAATGTAATGATAAGAGGATGAGAGGCTACAATATAAAATGGATAAAGAAAAATTAACTTCACAGATTAAAACATTTGGTGCAATCTTCTTTGTGCTACCTGAGCACACACTGGAAGCAAAAACTGCCATATACAACAACCTAAATACAGAGGGTCAAGATACACCCATTAGGCAAAGATTTTTGACCAGTAGTGACAGATTTGTCAAATAGTGCATTGTCAACTGCATTGCTATGGTATTTACCCCCAAGATGTTGGCAGGATTCTTGTTAAGACCTCCTTGTTGTGATGTAGGATCTCCATAGATAACACTTGTTTCCTCAGAACATTCAACAGATGGTCAAATATTAATGCATGTTCAATCTGGGAGATTCCTACAAGGAAAAAGATTCAATGTAATCAGCTGCCAATGGCTGCTGCAAGCATTTAAGGAGTAGACGTTGCTCAAAGTCAACCACTTGATGCAATCAGTTGGTTTGCCTTCGATCAGAGATCTTTAACCCTGGTCCTCAGGGCACACTGCCTAGAATGTTTTAAGTGTTCTCATACCACCACACACCTAACTTTAGTGAAAAAAGGTGATCAACTACCCTTTCCCACAGCTTGGAGGTTGCTGAGAAGGAAAAGATTCACATATGCGGAATCAGAGACATATCTAAGGCTACTTTCACACTGAGACCTGAAGTGACCGAAATTAAATTTTTTGACCCATATGCGAACTGTATCTGATCTTTTCATTAAAAAAAACAGAGAAGATTTTTCCAATACGACTCAGGCCACTTGGCTATGTGGTCCTGAATCCGATACGAATCTGATCTTTTCAAATGCAACCTGTATCTGAACGGTCAGTTCGCATTAATCCGATCTGAACGCCATTAGTAGCAGACAAACTTCCCTATTCTGGGTCTTACTATGAAGAAGCAGCAAGAAAAACGACAACCATGGCAGACGATGATGCGGAGAGCAGTATTTAGGTTTACCCATCTTGAAAAGATTGTGTTTTTATGGTTGGGAAAGATTGCTAGATGTGCTCCGGCACTACCATCCATGTTTACTTCCGTAAACACAGAGCACACTGGCCTGTGATGTCATTGCGTCCTCTACTGCGCATGAGGGACACATGCGTTGTATGACTGCAGTTCAAATTCTTATATAGAAAGCCTTTTCCAAATTTCAACAGTAAACAAAACTCAACAGCATTGTGTCCCAGCCAATTATTATATTGAAATTGACGATATTCTCTCTCAATCTGCCTGTATGACTGGACTATAGTTACTATGTATTTTACTACATAAATTTCAGCTTTTGTCTTATACAGTGTTTTGAGATTAAATGCATTGTAATTTATTGTAAAGTACTATATAAAATAAACATGTTAAAGAATAAAAAAACAAAAAGACAACTCAGATTTTGAGCACCCAAGACATCATTCTGGCTTTATGTTGAATGGATTATCTATTAAAAGAGGCCAAAAACTGTGTTTTATGAAACGTTGCACTTGGTGTGCAACAGTGTTCAGGCAGGTGCTAGATGTCAAACTGAAATCCATATGAATAGTAGGACTAAATGTTTTCAAGAGAAAAACATCACTAAACGCATCATATTGCCTCAAACAGCTTGTCTTCTTCCAATAATACAACATGCTGCCAAATATATTTGGGCACCTGCCACTGAAAGGACACCAACGCGCAGACCTAGAACTTATACTTCCCATCCGGTCTTGAAACAACTTTGGATCCCATTTGCTGAATAGTGTCACTGCACAAAAAAGGATGTTAAGGTTTCCTTCTGGACCTGCTACTCTTTCATGTATTCAAAGATAAGTGGAAGGAAATTGATGGGTGATTAAGCACTGATCCCATGTAATATTTACCAACAACCATTTATTTGAACCAGCTCAACCATCTTCCATTTCTAAATGGCCCAGTTCAAATGTTAGCATGTCCATTAATGGCACCATGGATTGCAGAAATGTTTCATTATGGGATGGCTTTACTATGAAATCCCACACACAAAATATTGCAATGTACTTTATCTTGTGATGTTGTTCTCAGCTATCTGGTGGCACAACCATAATTACAATATATAATAATTATTATACCAGCCGCGGTACTGTCTCTGTAGCATTTATCTGGTTGCGCCTCAGTCCGTATCCCCGGCTCCATCTTAATTAATTTTATTTTTCATTAAATAATAGAGATGCAGATAATGCAGTCACTATGTTAAATTAATTCATTAACTTTATTTTAATCAAAAACATAATAAAATAGCACAATATCACACCAAGATCCCCAATAAACCTGCTTTTCAGTTGACTGCAGGCCCACAAACGTCACCTTTAGCACGGCAGAGCTCCCAAGCGCCAC